ATATATCCAGACGCTGAGGCCTTCCTGAGCCCCCCACCAAGCTGCTCCACCCTCACCTTCTCCCTTCTGCCTCCACGCTTGCCCCAGGCTACTCGGTGTTCTCTATCACGGGTCAGTCAAGCTCTTAAATCGGAAATCAGAGCTGGCTACCTCTTTGATCAAACCTTCCTGGCTCGCATCTTTTGCGTTCTGACCCTGACCTCACCTCCTACCCTTCTTCCTCCAACAACCCCTCCAGCCAGCGGGCCTCTGGACTGGCCCTTAGATAGTCCAAGTATGCTCCGACCTCAGGACTTATGTCCCTCCTGCTCCCTGAGAGGGAGCTTTTTAGCTTCTAGCAGCCCGCAGTCATTCTTGTAGGTACATCTGTATTCCTTGACGGTCTCCTCTTCTCCCGTGTCTTTCTCTCTGTCTATTCTACCTGTCGATAGCCCAGTGAATAGATGTCAAGCCAGCTCTGTTTAGATATAATCTCGTTGTTGTTGTTGTTAGGTTCTGTCGTCAGTTCCGACCCACAGCCAGATGATGAACAACAGAATGCCACCCTCACAGTTGTTGGTCGAGCCCATTGCTGCAGCCTCGGTGTCAACCCATGACCCTCGCAGTCACTGCCCTTCTGCTTTACCAAGCATGCTGTTCATCTCCAGGGACTGGTCTCTCTTGATGATCTGTCCACAGTAGGGAGACAGGTTTTGCTCTCCTTGTTTCTAAGCAGCATTCTGGCTGTACTTTCTCCAAGATAAATCTGTTTGTTCTTTTGGCAGTCCACGCCACCCCCCATCTTCTTCACCAGCACCCTTCTTCTCTGGTCTTCCTTATTCAACGTCCAGCTTTCACACGCATTTGAGGCCATGGAAAATACCTTAGTTCTCAATGTGACACCCCTACTTTTTAACACTTTAAAGTCTATTGTCTTGGGCAATAGATTTACCAAATGCCAGGCATCCTTTGATTTCTTTCTTTCTTTTCATCCATTGATTTCTGAACTGGAATGATCTATGTAGTATAATTTTAAAAAGACAGACCTAGTCATTGAATCCATTCAAACTCAGAGATGCCATGCAGCTTAGAGGCCTTGCAGAACTGCCCTGTAGGATTTCCAGGGTTGTAATCTCTATGGAAACAGACTCCACATGGTTTTCCCGTAGGGTGGCTGATGGGTTCAGACGACCAGCCTCTCGATTAGAGCCAAGAGCACTTCACCCCTGCCCTCCCAGGACTCTGAGAGAGAAAACCCAATGTCCAGTGGTGAGATTCCGATAACTTAACAACTGTTCACTGGCCTAATGATCACCTTAAGTATGAAAAAAGATATACCAAAGGTAGTTTATTATTTTATACAGTTAATATTTAAATAAGAGCAATAAAAGAGGTACACAAAACTCTAAGAGTTTTAAACTATTAATGAATAATATTAAATAATTCCTGACCAAAAAACAACAACAAGATATTTCCATATTGCTTCTTTCTTGGCATCCTCCCTTGCAATATCCACTTTTATCTAAGCATCATGGCCTGTGTTAATAAGTAACATCTTTCACTGTAGGAGTAGGATCTTATTTCTGTAGAACCATGACCACACTCGCTGCCACTGAGTCAATTCTGACTCGTAATAACCCTCTGTGGGTTTCTCGGACTGTTACTGTTGACAGGAATAAAAAGTCCAGCCTTTCTCCCTCAGAGATACTGGTGGTTTTGAACTGCTGACCATGCGGGTTGCAGCCTAACACATAACCACCGCCGCCACCAGGGCTCCACATTCCTTTAGTGCAATGGTTCGCAACCTGTGGGTTGTGACCCCTTTGGGGGGTTAAACGACCCTTTCACAGGGGTCGCCTGATTCATCACAGTAGCAAAATGACAGTGATGAAGTAGCAACGAAAATAATGTTATGGTTGGGGGTCACCACAACATGAGGAACTATATGAAAGGGTGGTGGCATGAGGAAGGTGGAGAACCACAGCTTTAGAGATGGGACCCTTCGAGAGTAGCCGCTGTGTTTGACATGTTAACAGACGACTGCTCTTCCCTGAACATGTTATGTTCGTTTTTGAACAACCCCTTTCTGCTTCTGCTGAGCTTACAGCAATTATTCGGACAGTATTTTTAGCCCTTTGAATGCTTTCAGGATAATTCACTCAGAGCATCTCGTGGGAACTTGTGGCGTAAGACCACGCTGGAAGGAATGACAGCATGGCCCCCTCTGCCCGATTGACACTTTTCATTTGGATGTGTGTTTCTGAAGTAACAGATGCAATGGAATGAAAATGTACCTTTTGTCAAAAGTACAATGAGCTTTATGACATGAAGACATAAGTATTACAAGCAGGGTCCCAGCTAGCTCTTTTCTGCCTGTGGACAGAGGGAGCATTACCCTGGGGGCTTAGACTAGGCTGTGACGCGGATGAATGTTCACAAGGAGTTAGGGATGTCACGTGGGGATTTCCAAGTGGGGCAGCTGCCCACCTTCGAGAGAACCTGATGACCAGCGCCATCCTAGCCAGCAGCTCGCCA